GGCTGTGGTAAGAGAAAGGGGTGAGGCAGGAGGGGGCAGCTGAAGGTTGCACCTGAGGCTGGGTGCACCTGGATTTTTGAGGGCAGGAAGTCATGAATGTGTTTGAACTCTTGAAACTACATGACCCTTTCTGTCCTATTAGCAGGTCAATGGCACGCAAGGGTGTTATTTAGCCTGGTCCCTTATCAGGTCTAGAGATGAGGTCAGTTTTGGCTCAGTGAGAGTGACAGAAGGCACCAAGTGATGGAACTTGGACTTTCTGCTCTCAGAGGCTTGATTATAACCCTGATGAGGGCTGCTTGCTGGACCCTTCCCCCAGTGTCCTATTTCATCCCGATTTTTGTGGGTCTGAGTAAGGTCTCTTCCACGTTGCACTGAACTGTTGGACTCCTTTGTCCTGTTGGAAGTTCAGTTTGTGTGCAGAACTAGGCTAGAGGCTCAGCTCTGAACCAGGAAGCTGTCTGTGCATATAGAGGGTTGGGGTCCCCTGTAGGAGGGCAGGAGCCATGGGCTCAGGAACCTCACAGAAGCCAAGCACAGCGCCCATCTCCTCTTTGCACCACAGCTATGATCACTGTGCCGCCATCCAGGTGGACGCTTACGCCAACCCCTGAGTAGCTCAGGACAATTGGTGGAGCTTCCTAGTTTTGGGAGGTTTTGAAATTCCATCCAGCTAGTTCCTGAAAACCAAATATCTTCTGTTCTATTTATTGTGCCTTACTAATTCATTTGGGTTTTAATATTTCAGTCCACATTTTGTTGAATTTGCACAAGACCCAGTTCATTGTAGCGTTAATATGTGTATATGGAAGAAATTGATCCCTAGTTTTGAAATCATTTATACAGATTTATATGTCTCTGTTCTCTCTCTAATTCTTATGATCTTATAATTTCCATTTCTTCCCATTTGAAGCAGGGTCTCATGTCTTAAGTAGCTAGTCTTAAACTGCTTATACAGCTGAGGATGACCCTGGACTATGGATTTTCCAGCCTTCCCCTTCTGAGAGCTGAGATAGGTGAGTGCCCACATGCTTGGTTAGTGGGGTTCTGGGCATAGATCCCCACACACTACCAACTGAGCCACATTGCTAGAGCCTCTGGGATTTCCTTTAGTCTTTTTATTCTTGGAGTAATGTTCTACCAATTTTGTTGATGCTTTTTTGACAGGGTTACTGGGTTCTCATGAGTCTTGGTGGAAGTCTGAGTATTTTTCTTCTTAGTGTGTTTTCCACAAAACTTTACACAATGATCTTGGCTGCCTTTCAGACAATGAGGAATGTTAACGTGTTTAATGCTTTTTCTGTTTCTTTTTTCTTTTCCTTCTTCTCCTCTTCTTTCCTTTCCTCCCTCCTCCATCCTTTTCCCACCTCCCTTTCTTCCCTCCTCTCCTCATTCCCTTCTTGGTTCCCATCTCTCTGTGTGAGTGTCTCTTTAGCTATTTTTCTGTCTTGATGTATATACAACTTGCACACAGGGTTTCATCCATGCGCCACAGATACTGAGCTTAACTATATCTGCATCCTTAACTACATTGCATCCTGCAATGCCACTAGCTTCTCATGTGCCAGAGAATGTGCTGTTTGCACAGTGTGCTGGAAGGTGTTTAGACCCCATAGAAGGTTATGACAGGTCTTGAACCTGCCTATGACATACTGAAGTGGTATGTTTCTTCAGCTTTGATCTGTCTTTTCTCTCCTCCTGGCTCTCAGACCTCACAGGCCTTGGGGAAGTGTCCTAGCTTTCTTGTTCTTTATGCATTTAGCACTAACTATTAACTGTTGCATTTAGTGTTTTTTGATGTTTGTAACTGTGCTGGAAAATTCTCATATGAAAAAAGAAGCTGTGCTGCTGAGTGGCTGCCCACACACAGGCAGGATGTCTTTTATGTTAAACAGACTTTTATAGATATGTCTGATAATTAATAGTGGTGAATGCTAGGATGGGAGAGGGATGGGACACTTTGTATTTCGTATTGTAGAATGGAATCTTCAGGTATGCCTGGTCAATAGCTTGCTTGTTCTGTGTTAATTTTCTAGCCAAGGTGATGTCTAGAGGACACAGGGCTGATCCAGGCAGACACTAACTAGACTCACAATTTAAAATGGAGTCTGTAGTTCAACATCCAGAGAAAAAGGAAAAAATACAAGGCATGAGGCTTATATACAGGGCCAGGGCCTCATCCATGCCACACAGGTGCTTGCCTGAAGCTACCTCTAACTCTGTGAAAATCCACTGGGTGGAGACAAGATGTGAAGATAGTTTTGTTTTCCTAGGGTTTTACTCCATCATCGTATCAGATTTCCTGTTCTCTGATGAAAATGCAACCTGAAGGAATATTTAATTCCCATTTCTGTTCAGTGGTACCAGACAGCACAAATTTCCTCATTCCCCAACCCTTTACCCAGTTCTTTTTTTTTTTTTTTTTTTTGGTTTTTTTGAGACAGGGTTTCTCTGTGGCTTTGGAGGCTGTCCTGGAACTAACTCTGTAGACCAGGCTGGCCTCGAACTCACAGAGATCCGCCTTCCTCTGCCTCCCGAGTGCTGGGATTAAAGGCGTGCGCCACCACCGCCCGGCTCTTTACCCAGTTCTTACTATCACAGGGATGTGCGACATTCTGTGTCTCACCTCTGAGCTGCCGTGTCTATGTCATGGTGACATTCATTTTATTATTGCCTACAGAAATGAGAAAATATTATGTATCTTCTCTATTTCCTGAGTTTATCCAGAGAGTCAGCATGTCAGAGCGTTTCCGAAATTTTCATGAAACAGAGACCATGTGGTGCATTTGTTGGTATTCATTTCTCCCAGAGTCTTTACACATTCTGAAGCCAATATCTGTAGAATTCTGTGAATTTGCATTGACAAGGTTAGATTGTCACCCATTAGACTGGAAGGAATTATGGATTCCATTTCAGATGTCAAATTCCCTCCAATATGTTTACACTGTTCATGCACAGTGTCCTTTTGAGTCGCCTGAACTGGCTGTGCTGTGAACTTGTGACTGAGCACAGAGACAGCCAGAGGATCAGTGATGAACACTGGGATCACATTCTCCAGGACAGCACAGTCCTGGCTTCACTACCTGTCCTTGTCCCCAGTCCCCACTGCTCCCTGTTGCCTTTCAGAGACCTCCCTCATTCAAAGGGACGGTGATCTCAGACTCTGGGGACCCTGCATTGAGGACTTGTTCCAGCCCTTTCCCTGTCTGCACAGCTGGTCTCTCCTCTGAAGGGCTCCAGGACTCTGCCTCCCTTCCAGTTCCTCTGAGTTCTCGTGCTGGCCAGCAAGGGATTCTTCTCCTGCCATCCGCGCCCCCTTCTCCAGTCACTTAGTGTATGGAAATAAGCTGATGTGCCTGATACTTGCAAAACACATCTCGGCAATTCCCACTAATCTTGTGGTCTTCACAGTTCACACCAAGGGCCTTCTTATCCATGGGGCCTCTGTACTGGAGCTCAATTTTAATAACGGAGGAAACAAACTGGATGGACACTACGGTACAACTTAATGCCTTTTAAACTTATTGTTCTAGTTGATCTTAGCACTTAAAACTCAGTATGTTTTCAGATAACCCAGGAAGCTATCTGAGACCTGCAAAGCACGTGGCTTCTCTAGTTTCAGAATGGAGACAGCCCCTGCCGTCCCCTGTATCCTCACCGCACACCTCACCCCCTGAGGACAAACCTTTATTGACATGTTGGCTTCATATCCTGTAGGCATAGTAAAGGGTGACTTAATCCCAAAGTGTGCCTTCTGCAGAGCAACAGCCTTGCCCTTTGACGAGCAAACCCGTTTCAGTCTCCAGTTCTGTCACTTGTTTTTCATTAGCTCTGATACGTTCCTGTAAACAAGGTGATGTCATCCTCTGGCCAGTTAAGCACAAGTCTCTTGGTTTTGACTGAGTCTCTTGCCTTCAAGGAGAAAGCAGAGAGGCAGGATCCTGTTGCAGGTGGGACATTGTATGAAGGTTACCCCAGGACCCATACACCAGGGTAACTTGAAAGGTCATTTGAGTCTCCCAGTCATATCCAGACACACATGTGTCAGGAGCCCAGCTGTCAAGGTCCAGAATCCAGGGATCTGGATGACCGAGGGTCTGACTTTGTGCTCCTTGTGTCCTGTGCAGAGTGTTAGAGGATCCTGGGTGGATAGCATCCTGTTTCCCTTGAGAGCAAGGCTCTTGGAACATGAGCTCGACCACTCTGCCGCACACCCCAGCTGTGAGCTCTTTGCTACCTTGCACTGTGATAATCCCTGGGAAATTCTGCTACCCTGCAGTGTGATGGGGTTATCTTGGATTTCTTATGCTCTCAGTGTCTGGTTCTTGGATTTAGCTCACAAACAGGATCAAAAATACTGACTTATTTATATGGTCACTAATGTGCTAAGCATATGACCCAGTCCCCAAATTTCCTAAGGAAAAATACTGAGACTACCTGTTTTCTGATTGCCCTTGTCCTGGAGTCCTTCCTAGGTCGTGGACTGTCCAATGACTTTAGGTGGAGCATAAGGCTGCTGTGGGTAAGAAACCCTGGCGGCTGACAAGCTATCTGTTCTGGACGCAGCAGTAGGTGCTCGATTAAACTTTCAAGTTTATCTTTTGTTGAGAGTTGGGCCTCCCTGAATAACACATTGCCACAGTCTAGGGGTGAAAGCCATGTTCTTCAAGGAAAGGAAAGCTGCACTTTAGCTTTTGGGGCACCTACTAGGGGGCAGCGGCGGGAAGGCGCTAAAGGAGATTGGAAGACGCTGAGGCGCCTGGGGGACCCCAATCACAATCCTGGGACCTGAGGCTGCATGGATATTTCTTCTGCTTCTCCCAGGATGAGGGTGTGGCTGGTTTAGGGTTCAGAGTCTCTGAGGACGTTTGGAGGGAAAGCCACTGCCTGAGTGGGCGGGACCGCTTACAAGGCCCCTCCCACCTTTCCTTTGGTGCTTCCTTAAAGTGCCCTGCTAAACCTTTCTGAAGCCAGTCTGCCAAGACCCCAGCACCAGCACCATGCCTATGACACTGGGTTACTGGAATGTCCGCGGAGTGAGAAGGAATCTGCCTGAGGAGAGGACTAGGACTTGGGCGGGAAGTTCAGAGCCGCTAGGACTGTTTCTAACAGAAGGGTACTCCTGTTAGTGCTCTGGAGCTCACAAACTTGGGAGGTTGCACATTTGAGGCTGTACAGGTGTGAGTGTGTGTGTACACACCATGGGGTTGTGTTTGCAGAGCGGGAGGACTCAAATGAGATGATGAAGTCTTACGGTAAGGGTCTGACCATCTCTAACCTCGTGTGGTCCTCTCTCCCAGCTGACACACCCCATCCGCCTGCTCCTGGAATACACAGACTCAAGCTATGAGGAGAAGAGATACACCATGGGGGACGGTAATGACACCTTCCTGATCAGTCACCTGCTTCCCTTTGTCCAATGATGCCCATTATCCCATGCCTAGCCCCTTATTCCTCAGATCTGCAGCCCTCCTACAGATGGAGCTAGAGCCTGCTGCTTCCAGAAACCTCTTTGAGGGTGCAGTTTGGTTTTTAAGCACTGGGAATGGCCTGGTGTGATGGAACTCGCCTTTAATTTCAGCACTAAGGCAGCAGAAGCAGGTGGACCTCTGTGTGTTTGAGGTGAGCCCGGTCTACATAGCTAGTTCCAGGACAACCAGAGTTACATAGTTGATAAACCTTGTCTCAAACAACCACAAGGAAAACAAAAACACTGGGAATGTAGTTCCTGGCCCACCTGTATAATTGTCCTGGGTTCACTACTGGGGTCCTATTGGGTTCAGGCTCTCCTTATTACCATTTGGTTATAGCCCTCTCCTCCACCTTGGAAAATGACTTCGTGTGAGAGGTTGCAGACACTTCAGGGTATCTTGCTCCTGACTCCTTGGGTGGGTCCCCAAGGAAGGAGTTAGACCCTGGACTGATTTCATTTTATATCATCTTGTCTGCAGCCCCCAACTTTGACAGAAGCCAGTGGCTGAGTGAGAAATTCAATCTGGGATTGGACATTCCCAATGTAGGTGCAGGGAAAGGGTAGTTTGGGGAAAGCATGGCGTCCCTACCTCATCTCCTTGCTTGGCTGAGAGGACTTGGGGTCACTGCTTCTACTCACTTGCTCCCATTCCAGGGTTACATAGTGATGGCTGTGTCCAGCTCTTCCATTCAGTGTGTGCTGTGTTCATGGAGGGTGTCCCATGCCAGGCACACCGAGTACCAGGCCCCCTGTCTGTCCTCACCCAGGGAGAGGATTCAGGGACCACATATCCCATCTGACCATCCCTGCTTATCCTTCCAGCTGCCCTACTTAATTGATGGGTCACACAAGATCACCCAGAGCAACGCCATCCTGCGCTACATCGCCCGCAAGCACAACCTGTGTGAGTGGGGCTGGCTGCAGGGTGGGACATGGGGGATATCCTCCTTGTCTTGGCTGGGATGGGATGCTGAGCGTGAGTCTGTGCTGTGTGTGCTGCAGGTGGAGAGACAGAGGAGGAGAGGATTCATGTGGACACTCTGGAGAACCAGGTTATGGACACCCGCATGCAGCTCATGATAGTCTGCTGCAGCCCGGACTTTGTGAGTTGCCAGTGGGGGAGCAGACAGGGTTTGCAGCAGGACTTAAAGTCTTGCATCAGATATGCAGCATCTTCCTTCACTGAATGAACTGTGTTACCATGTCTCTGAGCTCTCCCATCTTACCAGCAGAGCAACCCTCATAACCCCAGCGAGATAGCTCATCAACAGTGTGAGACCATTAAGACTAGAGTCACCGTGCAAGATACGGTTGAGATTCTATAGAGTGAACTCTCTGACCAAAGACATTTAATGTACAGTTAAAATACCTGTCGTTTCTGTCCTTTGGCCATGTGTCATCTAACCTAGTGTTCACACTAACAATTTCTCTTAAGAGAAATTGTCACAGGCTCAAAAGATGAAAAAAAGATAAAACACAGGCTCAAAAGATGAAAATCAGGACTAGGAGGTGGCTCAGAGGATAAAAGTCCTAGATGTGTAAGCATGAGGCCTTGATTACAGATCCTGGTACCCACACTAAAAACAGACAGACCTGAGTGTGACAGCATGGTCTTCACAATTATAACACCTTGGGGGAAAAACAGGAGAATTACTGGGCTTACTGGCCAGTGAGCCCAGTCAGGCTGTGAGCTCCAAGTTCAGTGTATGACACTGTCATAAAAAGTAATATGGAGAATGGTTGAGAAAGACACTGGATAGCAACTTTAGCTTCCACAGATGCACACACACACACACACACACACACACACACACACACTGTGAAGATGGGAAGCACAGATTGGGAATGGCTTGTGCAGTGGTCTCTCACACACCCAGTACTTTTCAAGAGCTCTGTCTTCGGCATCAGAGTCAATACATCTTCCAGGAGGCAGGACAGGGCCGGTCAGAGGACCCTTGGCTATTCTTCTTTTCAACGTTAGTGACTGCTCAAATATGGTGCATGCTCTGCAAATATCTTATCTGTTCTTATGCATTCCAAGAAACCCCAGTATAACTTCGTCTTCTCCTGGGATCCATAAATCCTTTGTTTCTATGGCTGCACTGGATCTCTCAGACCATAATGTCCATGATACTTACGAAGTCCTGGATGTGACTCACAGCACCTGGGTACCAGTGGTGACAGATTTAGGGACAATGTAGTATTCCCGACTGTCTTCCCATCACCTCTAACAAATGCCATCTGCTACTAATAAAATGGTGGTGATAACTCGTGTGCTTAGCTCTTCAAGGTCAGCAGCCTCTATGACAGGAAGCCTGTGACTAAGGGTGATGACAGCTGTTTTATGCCTCAGGAGAAGCAGAAGCCAGAGTTCTTGAAGGCCATCCCTGATGAGATGAAAACCTATTCTGAGTTCCTGGGCAAGAGGCCATGGTTTGCAGGGGACAAGGTAAAGGGGGTGAGGTGGGGTGGGATGGATAGGGGAGCTGTCATTCTTCCCCAGTGCACTGATCGGCTTTCTGCAGGTCACCTATGTGGATTTCCTCGCTTACGATATCCTTGACCAGTATCGTATGTTTGAATCCAAGTGCCTGGATGCCTTTCCAAACCTGAAGAATTCTTGGCCCGCTTTGAGGTGATCCTGCTTCCTTTGGGTGGCCTTCTCTTCTCTTCCATAATGCTTTTCTAACCTGAGACTAAAGAAAATCAACTAGGAATTTTTTTTGAGTTTTCTGTAAAGATTTGTATGGGGCAAAATTTACTACTCCAAAATCCCCAATGGTGGGGGTAGGGCATGCAAATACCACAATCTTGGGACTGAACCAGCAGAGAACTGTAGAAACCCAGACTGTGAGACACATGTGACACTCCCTATGGCTGCTGAGCCCAGTCTGAACTGCACCTGACTTCAGTCTTACGTCATCTATAGTGCGGAATCTGAGGCTTTGATCCAAGGGGTTTTCTACCTGCTGTCTGTTGACCTTGTTCATTCTCCATCAACGAGGCACTTTCCCAGTTAATTCTCATCAGCTTGTTCTGGTCTGCCCAGGCTGGGTGTCCTAGGGGACTGTCCAATATCTGGCTTGGCTCTAGGGTGAGTGAGTGGAGAAGCAGAGCACCCTTTAGCCCAGCTTGTGTGTAGAGTTAGCCCGTGGTGGATCTTTTTGTCCCCTCTGGAATTGCCTGTGTCTCCTCCAGCTTGGTGTGTGGTACAACATGCAGTCATATGGACTGGTCCCGTGTTGTGGGTGCAGATGAGGACAGCCAGGGTGCATTGAGATTATACGTAGGAACCAACTGAAGAACTGTCAACTCAGCTCCCAGGAAATCGTTTAGGATGGTGTCCAGCCTTTCTCTGGTGGCTGTTTTGATATCCCCTTTCATTCAGGGTTTGCTGAGTCACTGGCTTCCACCTGACTTCCTGGTTCTCCCCGTTGCATCCCTCCTATGTGTGCAAATGCAAGCTAGAAAGTGCTTTCCAGTGAAATGTCAGTTCAGGGGACACGGATGGGTGGGCGGGTAGAGGGAGAGGTAGAGACGGCGAGGAAGAGGGAGAGAGAGAATGGCAGCCCCACAGCCAGGCTGACTCCAGCCCTGTCTTGGTTGTCACCATGAGAGAAGGGGAAGCTGGATTAACCTCTGTGGACCTCAGGTTGCTTTCCGATAACTGGTCATGGTGTTTCCTGATCCTGCATTGTAACCTTTAGTGGGTATAAAGCACTTCCATAGGGTCTAGTCTTTCTTGCATTATAGGAATTGAGGAGTTCTCTTCCCAGGGCCGGGAGCTAAGCTTGCTGTGCTGTGTTCCAGGGCTTGAGCTTTTGAGAAATGTTAATCCTGGTGGGACTGCTTAGCCTAGAGAGGATACAGACCTGAGCTCCTGCTCTGTCCTTCCCAATTTGCAGGGCCTGAAGAAGATCTCTGCCTACATGAAGACCAGCCGCTTCCTCCCGAGACCTGTGTTCACTAAGATAGCCCAGTGGGGCACTGATTAGGCTCCTACCATGCTGGCTCTCACAGGGAGGTCCTGTGCACACTGGATCCTCCTGGGGACAGCTGGCCTTCTGCCCTGCCGCATCATGGTGCTCGCTTCTTCCTGCTCCCTTCTCCACAAGGCTTTGAAGCCCCCTGCTTCCTAATCAAGCCTGCCCTCATTAAGCCCATGTAGTCTCCATCTCCCCACTTCCTTTCACCAAGGTCCCTTCTTCACTCCTGTCCTAACCCAAGCGCACAGTCCTTTTCCATGATTTGATGTCTGCCCTGAACTCTACTCCTCAGAATTATTCTAAAGGTCAATACTGCCTCCAGTTCCAACAGGCTCTCAGTGGAGGGGCTGCTCCAGGCCTGTCTCACCTCCAGTAAAACCTGAAACACACTTGCCCCGTGCTGTGTCTCATTCCTTTTGCTTTTTGGATTCACCAAGTGTCACAGCTGCTTCCAAGAGTCTCATGGAAACCAGAATAGGTTTGAAATATCTTGCTTCTAACCTGAGACCCTCACAACTGGGACAAAGCTCTCTAGAGGATAGTGTGTTTGCATAGGCTCTCATTCACTGGGACTCTGAACTGCGAAGCCTGTGGGTCTCAATGTGTGATGATGAGGCAGATGGAAGTGCCCAGGAGGGGCCTTGGATGGTCTCTCTACCTCCACATCTCAGCTGTGTCAGCATTGGGCTTCTAGGATATTGTCTTCACTGGCTTTATTGTCCTCTTCTGGCTTGAAGCTCCACTGGTGTGGGGACCTTCATTCTTAGTTAATCCGTTCTATTTGGAGAATAGAACTCTCTGCTAATTTTTATGACCTGTCCATCCTGCACCCAAGGAATCACTGTCAGTAAATCTCCTGGACAGTGAGGTTCCTGTGTCTCTGTTTAATATTGTGTTATTCAGACAGTTCTTGGAGAACTGTTTAAAGATGAGTCCATGACCATCAAACCCCAGTTTTGTGCAGACATAAAGTAATTAGCTGCTGTTGTATTCAGGGTTTGAGTACATGGAATGGTTGACTGCCAAGACCTGCATGACTCTGGGATGGACCTGACTGGGGCAACTAGAAATGAAGAAAGACTGAAGCAAATACAGAAAAACTGGGATCTGTAGGTCATGTACTGTGATGGAGATGCAGTAGCCACCCAGAGATTCAGCGTGTACAGCTGAACAAGAAGGTGGGTTTATTATTTACATGTGAACAATGAAGTATGCTAGATAATCCCTGTAAGGGTCTGTAGGGGAGCAGTCTCTAACACTGCCATCCTGGAGGAAGAAGCTGTGGTTGTACTTTCTGCACACACAGTCAACATTTGTCCTTGGGCCACAAGAAGATCTTGTCTTTCTTCTGAGCCTGACCTTGGAAGGTCTTGTCATTCTCATGGGGCTGAGGCATTGTGCTTCTTGACATAGACATGTTCATATCAACAATATACATCCGCTTAGACTTCATCTGCTCCCCAAAGTTGATATTTTATGTGTCAGATGAACTGTGTGGAGAGCTCCCAGAAAGCATGTGAAATGTATGCTGGTGTGGCTATGGTGATGTTTCTAGAAGTGATGCACTTTTGACTTGGTAGACTGGTGAAGAGGACCACTCTCACCACTGGGGTCAGGTACCACTCATGGGCACAGGGCTCAGGTGGAGTCAAAGCTAGATGATGTGTGAGTTCATTCTGTCATACCCAGGCATCCCTGGCCGAGTGCATTCTTTTCTCAGGCTTTATCTGGAGTTTTCCCCTTGCTTCCTGTCCAGTCAGGACTGATTTTACCATGGGCTCTGGGGGGTCTCCTGCAGTCAGAAGAAGACGGGATGCAGACCACAGCAGTCCTTTTCCATTAAAGATAACACATGCATATCCGCAGAGCCTGTAATAACATGCCTACGTGTTCTTTTTTAATCAAATTTTCATTTTACATACTGATCCTCTCCCTCTCCTTCTATTGTTCCCTCCCTCCATGTCTTTTCTACCCAAACCACCCCTATCCAGTCCTGCTCCATCTCCACTCAAAAAGGTGCAGGCCTCCCATGGGAGTCAACAAAGCATCAAGTGGAGGTAGGATCAAGCTCCTCCCCCTGCAAGGCAACCCAGCATGGGAACTGGCTTCCTAAAAGCCGGCTCAAGCACTAGGGACAGGTCCTTATCCCACTGCTAGGAGCCCCACAGACCAAGCTACACAACTGTCACACACAGAGGGGCTAGGTTGGTCCCATGGAGACTCCTTAGCTGCCGGTCCAGAGTCAGTGAGCTTCCAGGAGCTCAGGTCACCTGTCTCTATGGGTTTCCCTGTCATGACCCTGAACCCCTTGCTCATACACTCCTTCCTCTCTCTCTTCAACAGGACTCCCAGAGCTTGACCCAGTGTTTGGCTGTGGATCTTTGTATCTGCTTCTATCAGTTACTGGATGAATGCTCTCCAGTATGATGATAGTTAGGGTAGTCACCAGTTTTATTATAGGAGAAGGTCAGTTCAGGTACTCTCTCCTGCTAGGAGTCTTAGCTGGAGTCATCCTTGTGCATTCCTGGGCATTTCCTTGACACCAGGATCCTCCCTAACCCCAAAAGATGCCTACACATTCTACTGACCCTGTCTCATGGGTCCTGGCTGGCCTTGGAGGGAAAGGACCAAAATGTTGGCAGTCTTTGTAGGTCCCCTTACCCTTATTGATGTAGAACTCCTGGTGTTTTGGTGAACACCCAGAAGGACAGAATTGCCAATCTTGTAACTCTCATGTGACCCCTTGATCAGGCCCAGAAAAAACACTGGACAGTTTTAAACAAATCTTGATTTTTGTTAAGACTCAGTTTCCCTGGTTATATTGATGAAACAATGTTTAACAGCCCAAGAGACCAATATCCTAGGAGAATTTTGTGGATTTAAAGATAACTTTGACATTAGTGTATTGAACTTTGAGCGTCACAGTTAATAAGCTTTAGTCATCAGACATGTCATCCACAGGCCCTGTATGGTTTATTCAGGCTGTCTACAACTTGATTTAAAGTTTTGAAAAATGTTCTTTCATTTTGAGGACAAAAATCTTGTTTTATTATACAAAATCCACTCTTACTACAGATTTCTAAAAAAATTTCTACCCTCTTACCAAAACTATATTTATTTTCATATTTATATCCTTTTCAACTTCTCTCTTTATTTTGTAACAAGAGTTTAATCCAAGCTATGTATGTGGCACAGTGTGATAAATTTAGATTGTCTGTACATGTATAATAAAATTTCCAAGCTTTGTTCCTCCTGCAAGTCTTGTCTTGGGAATACTTCTCATCACCTGGATTTTTACATCCCCCACCTCCACCCCGGTCTCACAGATTACGAAATTAAGAGAAAGTTTTATATTCCATGAAGGGCCTGCCAAGATATCAGTGTCCATGAGCACTGAACATTCTTCCTAAACAAGAAAAAGCAGAAGAGGAAGAACACAGAGATCCAAATATCTTTAGGTATTAACCCTCTAGTTGCAGCATTAGGTACAAAAACTGTTTATTCATTATCCATTATGCCAGTTGAGTTCCTTTAGATATGGCAACATCAACCACAGGCCAGTTTACCTGCCACCCACACTTGGTTTTGAACCTGTTCAGAGCACTGTCAGTATTCTTTGGTGTTAGGCAGCTAGACTGACATTAGCAGACTTAGAAGACATTTGAAGACAAACTGAATTATCATAATGAGCTTCCCTCCTTCCTGCTTCTCTGTAAGAAAGGGTAACATCAAGATTGCTCCTCCTTAAGATTTCAAATACCAAATGAGGGGGTGGAAGACAAAGGCATCAGGGCTTTGTCGAGACCCACTCAGGGAATGGGTCAATTGCAGAATCTGAGTTCTGCCTCTGGCCCTGGGCGTAGACATGACATTCTAAACTGTCCAAAATGTAATATTACAAATACATATTCTTGTCTTCTCCCTTAAGAGTTATCCAACTAGACCTGTCAATGATCTGGCCAGGAGACCACGTCCTCAAGAAAGCGGATACATGTCAAGAGATGGGAGGAGTACTTAGCTTAATAATGAGATAACATACTTACATACCCCAAAGCCCCGTCCTTGAAGCAGTTGCTTACTCGAGTATCGTTATAGCTTACAGCTGTGCTAAGCCTGCTGTTCTTCTGAATTCTAACTCAAAAGGGATGACTCTTCCTTTCTCCCCTTCCTATTTATTCTTCAGATGCAGCCAAATCATAGCATGTTTCTCCTGACTCATTCTTTGAAGGCATCTCCTATCTCATATGACTGCTTCCAAACCTCCATTGCCATACCTACCTGCTTTTTAGAACACTATCTCAAAGAGTATCACTCACTCCCCATTTTCCAGCTGCTGACATTTGCTGCTTTCCTGACCTGCTGTTTTTCTCTCTAATTCTTAATGAGATGGTCCATGAAGTCCCTTCTGAGTCCATTTTCACTCATTTACTTTATTTTTCAGACATGTAATTCAGGCTGACCTCAAATTGGTACAGCAATTGAACTCCTGATCCTCCTGTTTCCATCTCTCAAGAATTTACAGAATCACACAATTATTCCCTCACTGAGTCTTGTGTGTGTGTGTGTGTGTGTGTGTAGATGTGTTCACATGTATGTAGAGACCAGGGGTTGATGCCTGGTGTCTTCCTCAATTACTCTCTACCTTAACTGTAAAACAAGGTCTCACTGAATTTGTAGCTTGCAGATTCAGCTAGACCGGCCATCCAGGGTCCCTTTGGGACCTTCCTGTTTCCATTGCCCCAGCACCAGGATTACAGGTACACCCCACCATGTCTTATTTTCTTTTGTGGGTTCTAGGGAATAGAACTCATAATTGATATTCTAGTTAGTCTCCCTCCAACATAATAGTTTTATTAATTATTTTGGAATTTCATACAGTGAACCCTGATCACTCTCTTCTCATTCCTTCCAGGTCCACCCTCCCATCCTTGCACCGCCTAAAAAAAACCAAGAATAACCCCCCACCAAGTCCAATTTGTGCTGCCCATACACTCACTGGAGCATGGTCAAACTGCCAGTGATCATGCCCTTACAGAAAACCGAGTCCTGCATCCACCACCCCTGAAAGCCATCGACTGTGAAGAGCTACGCTTCAGCATCTTTATCACAATTCTTTTGTTCATTTTCAATATATCCTGACCATAGTTTCCCCTCCTTCCATCCTTCCAAGTTCCCTTCTCTTCCCCTCTCCCCCAGATCCACTCCTCTTCTGTTTCCCTTCAGAAAAGAGCAAGCTTCCCAGAATATTCACTGAACACAGAATAACAAGATACAGAAAGACTAGGCACAAACCCTCAGATGAAGGCTGGACAAGGCAACCACTAGGTGGAAAAGGATCCCATGAGCAGACAAAAGAGTCAGAGACACCCACACCTCCACAGTTAACAGT